ATATGCTACAGTTTGACAAAGAATTTAATGAAAACTCTTATATGACAAATATATATCTATATATACGTATTGCTATACAGTTATAAATGTAAAATATATAAACGAGGTCTCAGCCAATGCGTTTTAAAATTGAGACAAATCTAAAACGGCATATAATTCAAACGGTGTCGCCTGAGACCTCGAAAAAAAAAACAAATTGAACTCGTTTTATTTCTGGACATCGGGCTTCGTGTTTTTTAACTGTACATATTCGTAGAATTACTTCGAAGCCTAAGCAGCTTAGCCTGTTTGGGTTTTCGAACTGATATTCGAAGAGCCTCATTTCGAATTGAGCGCGCAGCTTTCAGTGCTGTAAAAGCCTGACAGCTGTTTTCAACAGAGTTTGCATTGCTTGCGTTGTCCGATTCAGAGTTGTCATCCCAGCTGAGTTTGCCACATCAGAATTAGATTGTTGCTGTTTTGTTGTCTGTTTAAACAATAACACCATATCAAGGTACAAATTTGTTCCAATAAATTAATAGTATGTTCTAAGCAAAAGCAGTTGTGAGCTCGTCTGACTACTAATGTAACTGCATTCAATGTGATTAAGGTTCAAATCGTCAAAACTTTGAACACGTCAGATCTATGTGCAGCATCCGCAGCGGCCGATAAACAAACCAAAAACATTTATCAATCGGAACCGGAGCAGTGTCTATGAAGCAGCTGCACAGATAAAGGCCAAATAGTGTCGTATTAGCCACGAAGTTGCCGACGCGTTGCCAGTTTTTGACGAAGCCAAACAACACAAACACGCAAACATGGCAGAAACAACAAGCATTGATGTCAGCGGCGAAATGGAGGTGCCGCCGCAACGTCCAGCTGGTGGTCAGAACAGATTCAGCATCGATATGCCAAAGTGCGTAGCCACAGGCACTTCTCTTAGGAATGCAATTAATACCACTTTATGTTTCCCTTAGCCTGCCTTCATTGTCGAATTTGCCCACTCCCTTGGAGTTGATTCACATGGTGCGACGCTCCCTGCGCCCGTGGACTGTGTTCTTCAACATCAACAATTTTAAGACTGCGGTCAGCATGCAACGACTGCAAAATCGAGTAACGCGTAATCTATCATATTTCCAAAGCAACTATATATTCATATTTATAGTGCTGATGATCTACTGTTTGTAAGTGTAAATATTATTGTCCATATTGGAGCGCAGCTGTTTAAACATTTGTGTGCATCTCTTTTTAGGATTACATCGCCGGTTACTCTACTGGTTATAGCCGCTGTGGCATATGGCTGTCACAAAATACGCAGCGTCAATAACAATGTGAATATCGCGGGTTATTCCATGTCGCCGAAGCAGCAAGTCATAGCCTTGAACATGGTAGCGGCACCTCTGCTATTCCTGGCTGGTGCTGGAGCTGTGCTCTTTTGGACGCTGGGCGCATCTTGCTTTGTGATATGCCTGCATGCGGTATTCTACAATATTGACGCAATCGTAACCGAGGAGAACGAGTTATTCTTAGCGCAGGTCGTCTAATTGACGAGCCTCCTACCGAAACTGAGCATGTAGAATCTTAAATCTGTAGCAAGTTAATTGCCGCACAGGGGCCTTATTAGACAATAAGTTGCAATATATATATATTTATATCGAAACCGACTTGTAATTAAGTTTTATCAATCAGCGACAATGTTGCTTTAGACGTATTAAAAAAAAAAAATAACCGTATACACCAACAAACATGTTTTTTTTTCTGTTTTTTAATAATTGCACATTAATATGTATATATATTGTGTACTTTAAGCAATTTGGCAAAAGTATCGCAACAGTAGAAAATGTGGAATGGTCAGAAAGTATACACAATCACATGGTAAAGTGGAATAAATAAAACATGTATAAAAACAAATTCACTGAGGTATTCAGAACTAGAACTAGGAATGCTTCGTTAGCTTTACAAAATAGATAAGTCTCTTGGTCCAGGTGTGTGTGTGTATGTGTGTGTGGATGTGTGTTTTCTGTCGCCTAGGCGAACTGCGAGAGCGTTGTCGTCTCCTGATCGTGCTCCTCATCGCTGGCATTCTGATCGAGCTTCTCAAAGCCATTGCGATCGAGCAGGCCGCCCAGCTTAAAGCCCTCGGTCTTCTCCCAGGCATGCCGGCGATTGTGTGTGCCGAATGGCAGGCAACCTGTTGAAACCGCATCAAAATGACAATTTAATTGGGAAAAAACAATGGTAATGCACAGAAACATATATATATATATATATACAGGGCATGCACTTGTCGTTCTTTCACTTGCGTTAATCAGAATTTCATTCATTCGCTGCAATTTAAAACAAACAAACAAAAAAGAACAAAAGACACTTAAAAGTAGATTATTTCTTACATTGTTTAGAATTGTGTATGTATTTTGTATAAAAAATATAGGTATGTATATATCTGTACACAAAAAATGAGATTACAAAATGAGAAACACGATTCTTGTCGGAGAAACTGGCAAGAGGAATGCATGTATAATCAACTTAAAAGTAAATTTTTGAAACATTATACACACAACTACATAATGGAACTGGAGTGTGAATGGTATTGGTTAGCACAGACTTTGATTGGAAGCGGCCAGCTCGCGATAGACCAAATCACTGGGCGGCATCGAGCTGATCACTTGATTACCTCGTTTGCGGCGGCGCGCCATAATCAGCGCCAGAGCGAATGTGGAGCCGGCAAATAGGAGCATCATGGACGCCACCATTATGGCCTTGCCGCTGGGATGATGGCGAGTCTGTGTCGCATCCACATCGCTAGCCTTTACAGACATGTCGCTATTAGAGATTTGCTTTGTCGCGGACAGGGACATGGGCTTGGCCAGCGATTTGTGCACAAATTTGTGTATGCGCTTGGGACTCAGTTCAGCCACATAAATCGTATTGCCATCCTCAGTGACGGCCACATCGTGCGGATTCTCGAATTGCAGATTGTTCGGGCCAAACTTGGAGACCAACTGTTTGGTGCGCATGCTCATCACGAACCCATGCACTTCGTTGTGGTCCTGCGGGGGGGATACACCCAGTTCGGCGGTGGGTCCGTTAACGATCACCAGCTGGCCGCCTAACAATTAATCATACAATTCAAATACATTTCAAATTGGGATAAGTAAGCAAGACTTACCCGCTGCAGGTGTATAGGCCATGCTGAACAGACGATCGCCAATGAGCGGACTATGGTATTGGGAATGAAAAGTGCCATTGTTCGAGTAGAAGCACTGTACGCGTCCATTCTCACGATCGGCGGCACACAGCAGCTCCAGTTCGGGCACCAGGGTCAGTGCATGTGGAATGGCAAAAAAATTGGCCGGTGCCACATCATAAGAGTAGCCAGAAAAGGAGTTTTGTCCCCAGACAAGTATCTGTTCGCCCTCCTTTGTGTATTTAATAATGCGCGCATTACAATAGCCGTCTGCTACGAAGAAATCCCCATTGTTCAGCACCGCCACAGCGGTGGGTTTGCAGAATTTATTTGGACCATTGCCCGAATGAAAGGCAGTGCCCAGTGTCAGAAGTGGTTTGCCGCCCTCGCCACGCGGCGGGAATTTGAATACCTGGTGCATAGCGACATCGGTGACCCAAACATTGTCCTCAGGATCAGTGCTCAAGCCGTGCGGCAGGTAAAAGCTGCAAGCAAAAAAACAATCAAATGTAGCAAAACAAAAATAATGGATGCAATGGATGACGCTTACAAGTTTTTACCCCATTCGTAGAGCACTTGGCCAGAGTCCGGCTCAAGGCCCAGTACAGTGTTCTCTTTAATGGGACCTCGATTGCGCTCCTGATATACGTTCGCAGTGTTAAACGTCGTTTGATCCCAAATCCGATCGACTCTGTGAAATATGACCACATTGCCGGCCTTGTCGAAGCTAACCGCGGTGACGGCGCCCAGTTTCACATTATTCGTTGGCCAGCTATTCTGATAGACATAGGCTGATAAAAAAGAAGGGATTCAGTTTGACGATTAAGCTAACAGCGTAGGGTGCTCACTGGTGTTCAGTTTGGCTAACTCAGTCTTCACATCGGTGACTTGCGATTTGGCGCGTTGGGGCCAATTAATTTCGGCTGCGCCGACACCTTTCAGCATTTGCTGTAGCCGCTCGCTGTTGCTCCCGCTGCCAACAGCGACATTCTGCAGATAACGTTGAGTGCTTTGATTCTGTGAATAGATTAAAATAAACAGCGTATAATTCAATTTGTCACGGGAGCATAAATTCCTCTAGGTACACACACACACACAAGCTCATGTATGTGTGTGACGTCAGAAAACAAAATCAATACACAAAACATCTGTGTGCAGGTGCAAAACATATGTTGTCGTATTTAGCAGGAAACAAGTTAATTATTAACGCGAAAATCACCTCGTTCACAGCAGCAGACGTAGCTAGCGTGCTGCAGCCAGTCCAGAGAATGCCGATCGCCAGGTAAAGGCTGTAGCTACGTATACAACTGTTGGTGTTGTTGTTGTTGCTGGAGCGCTTCATGTTTACTCATGAAATTTAAGAGCCAATATTCCTGTTGAATTAAGCCAGGTTAAAATCTTCTTTGTAGCTTTTGTTCTTGTTTATTGTATTCCCTTAGGCGTGCCACGCGCAAGTCTTCGGAAATTTTCGCGTCTGGTCAGGTCAATACAATTAAATATTGTAGTCAAACAATCGACATGCTCGCGACGTTTTAAGCACAGTAAAATGGCAAGTTGCGAGCAACTGGAATGTTATTTGTGGCTGGCAAACTGCTTAAACAGCTTCAATTCCTGCGAATATGCACAGCAATTGAACACTTTTGGCAATAAATGATTTATGTAGCTGCAGCAGCCATTTTAACTGGTTGATTGTTAGAACAGCTGGAAGAGTGACCAAACTAGCTAAAGCGTCAAATGTCTTTTAAAATTGTGGTCACCCTAACGATAAGTTTGACTACGCGTCTATCGATTGCGGAATTTTTAAAAATTAATCGTTCATTAACTGTGTATAAAAACCGCTATTAAATATTGAGTCTGTATGTTGAATCGAACGAGTAACATTTGCGCAAATTCTCTAAACTAAACTAAATTAAATTGAAAAACTCAGCAGTACGACTTGGTGACTAACGCACCACCCAATATTCAATTACGCGCACCAACCGCAGTGGCAGCAACTGGAGAACTCTTGTTGCACAATGGAACTTGTAAATCATGGCTTATTTATAATTATCACAGCTGTTGTGTGTGCCGCAGAACATGAGGAACGCGAATTGCCTTATCGACACAGCTTTTTAAATCCATACCCACGATTCAGTTCCCACAATGACAGCATTGATCCTGGCGAGCCGCTATTCCTGACGCCCCTTCTGAACAATGAGTCCATATCCAGGCAGGAGGTCCGGGATATGGCGCGCGTTACGGGTCCACAGTTTCTAGGAGTGGAGAGCTATTCGGGCTATCTGACCGTCGACGAGGCTTACGATTCGAATATGTTTTTCTGGTATTTCCCCGCCGAGCAGGATCCGGAGCATGCGCCAGTTCTCCTATGGCTACAAGGAGGACCCGGCGCCTCCTCCCTCATAGGCTTGTTCATGGAGAACGGCCCACTCAGAGTTATTACTCAAGACAAGCTGCAAAGGACGAAATACAGCTGGAGCAGAACACACAATCTGATCTATATCGATAATCCTGTGGGTACGGGCTTCAGCTTTACGTGCCATGCGGAGGGCTACGCACGCAACGAATGCGATGTGGGACGAAATCTGCACGAGGCAGTCATCCAGCTGTACAAACTGTTCGAGTGGAGCAATTCCTCTGGCTTCTGGATCGCAGGCGAGTCGTATGCCGGCAAATATGTGCCCGCCCTGGCCTATCACATACACAATTCTCAGTCCGGACATGAGGGTCACGATCGTATACCGCTTAAGGGCTTAGCTATTGGCAATGGTCTGTCCGACCCGCTGCATCAGCTTAAATACGGCGACTATCTCTATCAGTTGGGCTTGATCGATGAGAACGGCCTGGAAAGGTTCCATTGCGCCGAGGCAGCGGGAAGGGCCTGTATTAGGCAACAGGACATGGACTGCGCCTTTGAGATATTCGATTCCCTGATTCTGGGCGATTTGCCAAGTGGTTCCCTTTTCAAAAACTTGACGGGCTATCAATGGTATTACAATTACTTGCAGGCCCATGACGAGGACTTCGTCTCCAAGCTGGGCAACTTTCTGCAGGCAGGTGTCACTCGCCGTGCCATCCATGTGGGCAACAAGCCGTTCCACGACATGGGCAAGGAGAATCAAGTGAAGAAGTTCCTGAAAGAGGATCTCATGGACAGTGTGGCGCCCTGGATAGAAGAGCTCCTCAAATACTATACCGTCTGCATATACAGTGGCCAACTGGATATTATAGTCGCCTACCCATTGGTACGAAATTATTTGAAAACCCTAAAGTTCCCGGGCTCTGATCGCTATAAGACCGCACCCCGTAAAATCTGGAGAGTTGACGGGGAATTGGCCGGGTACATGAAGCAAGCCGGCAATTTGGTTGAAATATTAATACGGAATGCTGGTCACATGGCCCCGCTGGATCAGCCCAAGTGGGTATACGAGATGATTAACCATTTGACTCATTACACTCGTTAAAGTTGGTATTTACGTCTTGTAAATTGATGTTTTACGATGAAGGTAGCAAACTTATTTTAGAATAGTTTAAGTGTATGTCAAAAATGCATATATTTATACTTTGTATGAATAAATTATCATGTTTTTAACAATCGTGAATATTTGAACAAGTGTTTTATCTCATTTTATTTTTAAGCATCAAAATTTTCTATTTTTGTTCGTGATCAGCGTACATTAACTCATTTTACTCAAAATGGCAATGCTCACATAACATTTAGCTGTTAACAAACATAAGCAAAGCATCACTGAATCGCGCAACACTAAGACTTTTCAACACTGGAACGCGTAATACACCCCGCTTCCCGCTTTGCCCAAAAGCCATTATTATTTTTCGAGTTTCATCCACAGCCACAGTGCAAATTACGGCCGCACGTTAATAAATTATAATATCTAACAATAACAATGCTAAAATAAAGTTAAAACCTAGCTTTATATGTTCATCAACTTAATTTAAGTGTTAAAGTAGTTCTAAAGTGTCCTTTAAGTCGCCAAAAAATAAAATACAAACAGGAGTCTCAAGGCACGCAACTAAAAAGAGGTCGTCTTCGCTGTTCTTGTTATTGTCATAATCGCCTGCTGCTGTTGTTATTTTTTTTGTCAATAAATTGAAATACAAGCACACACATTGGACATTTCGCATGCACGCCTAATGTACGTTCTGATTGCTGCATTTGCCCTGCTGCATACGAACTAGAATACGAAAATACATTCGCCAGCGCGAAGAAGCAGAAGTGGAAGACACTAAGGTGAGTGAGCGCGGCATCAATACAAATGTAAAATTGAAACTGTTATGCCATATGTGACAGTGGCGTCGGCCAAGGGGGGTCGCGCTGCACAGTTCAATGCACGATGAACGAGCGAGCTGCAAGAGTTGGTAACTGTCAAGAACCTGATTATATCAAACGGCAAATGCAGCTGCATTTTATCGAATTTCAGCAGCAAAACAACCACAAAAAATTAAGAACTAGAAAAGTGCAACAAGACATGTATCTATCCATATAAGTTGAGAGGGTAAAACTCTTAATGCACATTTCTGCTTATGTTGCTTTTGGTGGTTGCTTGCCGTGCGCCCCTTTTGCCGCCTGTCCGAGTCCCAAGCCCGGCGAGCCTGTCACAATTTGATTTAGGCACGTCTGTCGCCTGCTCGATCCGATCGTCGCCTCGTTGCGCTGGCTGCATTTAAATGCAGTTTTTGTACATTTTGCATGTTGCTAAAAGTACACGCACAATTGCAAGACAAAGAGACACCATTTGTGTGCATTGTGTAGCCAATAAAAATATTTGCATTGTTAACGCTTTACCCAATTGCAGCTGCACAACGCCAACAACAACAACAACAACAGCAGCAGCAGCAGCGCAGTCTGGAGCATCATGCAGCATCATGTGCATGCAGCGAGAGCAGCGCCACATTTGCGCGCCGCACATCATCACGGTCACATTGCACTGCCACCGCATCCCGGCATGGAGCCACATCTGGGCACACTGGCGGCAGCGGCGTCCCTAGCCACACAGCAACAGCAACAGGCGCCGCCGCCACCGCAACGTGATCACGGACGGTAAGCGATAGACACCAGTTGGACACAATATGTTGGCTTTTTACGGGTTATATGGGTACCGTTAGGCCCTCTTGGCGTCGTGTCTAGGCGCTGCTCTTCTGTACGTTGCGGCAATTATGTTAATTCCTGTCACTGACAATCGCCTGTGAGACTCATCATCCCATTTTCTCAACTCATAAATTATAATTTCAGTGGCTCTTTGTTCTTTAGCGCTCAGCATGACTTCCGCTCGATAACGGGTTTGCAGCAACAACAACAACAACAGCAGCAGAAGCGGCTGCAATTATCCTTGACGTTCGTTAGGATCGCACTGCGGCCAGTTTCTCTTTTTGTTTTTTTTTTGTTTTGCCTTCGCTCAGTTTTGTCGCCTTTTGTGCGATCAGATGTTTTCCTGCGCTACAGCTCCAAAGCAAAACTGTTCGCCCTAGCCGACCCGCCAGTTGCTCTGCAGTCGCGTTTCGCCTTGCCTCGCACTCGCCTCGCATTGAGCGCGTTCTGAATTCTACGTTGATTTCGCAAGAGCATGTAAACGATTTGTGTCAGGTGATGATGCAAGCATTTCCACTAACTGCATTACAAAGTGAGCACATGCAGGGTATTCCCTTCAGGACAAAGTGAATTCAAAGAACGTGTAACGACAAGTATAAGCTCGCCTTTTGCTCAACAATTTTATGTTCTCTGCATTGTTTAAAAATATATTTAAATGCCGCGAAAGATACCAAAGTTATCCGTTTTATAACTGTGTGCAGATATGTGAAGCCCTTTACAAGTTCAAATATCTACTTAAAATAAGCTAAAGTGAAAATTCAAGGAGCTTCGTTAGCTCCTGATCTTGGTGCTGAAATTCAAGCAGTAAGAAGACGTTTAGTTAGACTTGTGTTTCATTTTAGCAATTTTGAAATTGTCTTTGATAATGAAAGTGAATGATAAATGAATGTCTGCAAATATCTTAAAGAGTCGTAAAAAGCGATCGTGCTTCTTATGAAATTCTTATCCAAGTTCAAGATATTCTTGCATTGTTTCCTGGTTTTGTATTCTTTAAGACGGAGCATACCCTTCAAATGTGTTGATTGCTAAATTTTGAATAATTTAAAATCAATGAAAAAATAGTTAAGTACTTAAATGAAATATTCGTCCAAGTCGAAAATTATTTGCTTGCAGTTAAACTTGCCTAATTTCACAATATTGCTTATGCATCCGCATCCTTTTCATCCACTTCAGTTGCATGCAAATTGAGCTACTTGAACTCTTTTGTTGAACAGCTTTGTTTAATCTTAACTCTCTGACCATTTTTTAATAGATTTAGCGATTGCAAATTAACTTGCCGAGTGGCTAACACATGCATTTGTTGGTCAACACGCGGTCATCCACAGATTTGCAAGGAATTCCGAGTTTAAACCCGGTTGTGTTCTCCCTCTTTCCCCCCTCTTTCTCTCCATCTATCTATGGGTAGGTGCGTCTCAATTGAAGCTGACAGTTGGCGAAAAATGACACGATGCGCAAGAGAATGCGGCTTTTGTGCTTTGTTAGGGATCAGAAATCCCTATTGTTCGTGCTTTACCGCTGTTGTCTGTCGCTGTAACAACAACAACAACAACAACAACAACAGCAACAATGGGGCATGGCGCAAAGGGTGAACCTCTGTTGCCTCTGACCGTGCTTTTTTTTTTATTTGTGTTTTGTTATTTTTGTTTTCGATGGCCACTCAATATGCCATTTTATGTGCTTAGCCCCGGCAGTCAAAGCTTATCATTTCATGGTATTCCGCGAGACTTCAGGGTTTTCTAATTTCAATACTGAATTTGTGTTCAGTTGTATAATATAATATAAATTAGCTTGATTTCGTGGCCTCTGTCGAAATAAGAATTGCTGAGAAATTTCCTTATTTATGAGATTCCATATAATAAATAAATATAAACACAGAAATTGGCATTTCATAGTATGTTTTTCTATAGAAGCCTATGCATTTTGGAGCATTTTTCAACGATCGTAGCTTATCTGAAAAGTTTAATTTCTTGCTGAAATTTTGTATAGATTTGGAGTACGCTGAATGCTCTCCGCCAAGCCAGACACCTGTGCTTATTATGTAGTAAAGCTGCGTTAGGCAAACTAAATTAGTAAAAAGGCTTTAGTAATCATATTAGAGCAGTATAAATTGTTTAGAAATTCTTTTTGATAACAAAATTATGGTCAACAATTAATGCGTATCGTTAACAAAGTTTAGCACAGGCTGTTGCTTTTTATTAAAACACGTTCAATTTGACTTACACTTGCAGCCTGAATCATCATCATCATCAACAGCAGCAACATCACCCGCAGCAGCAGCAGCATCCACAACCGAATGCCGCGTATCACAACAACAGCGGCAACAACGACAACAACAGCAACAATAACAATCAAATGCAAAAGATACGACAGCAACATCAGCATCTCAACAGCAACAGCAATGGCCATTTAACAAAATGTAATCAAGCGCCGCCACCACCACCGCAGGCCTACAATCATCTGGCTGGGAATCCGGCAGCGCTTAGTTACGGCCAGCTGCCACATCATATGACGCATTTGGGCAGCTATGCGGCACAGCCGCCGCCGCCAGCGGTGTTAAGCGGCGGCAAGCAGCAGCATTACTATCTGGGCAGTGGCAAGCCTTCCAAGTACAACAACAACAACAATAGCGGAAGCAGCGGCAGCTATGCGCACGCATCCAAGACCATTCTGCAGAACACCTACCGTCACGCCAAGAGCAATGGCCAATTGCCTGTCGCAGCTACGGAGGCGCCTGTAGTTGCCGGAGCGACATCAGCAACAGCAGCTGCCGCAGCGGAACATGCTCTGCCCAGCACATTGCGCATTTTGGGCAACTGCCGGAGCAGCAATGGCGATAGCATAGTCATTGCCAGCGATGAAGTGTCTGAGCTGCCGCCAGCCGAGTCGCCTGATAACTGTGAGCCAGTGAAAGAGGCGACATTGACGCAGGACGAGGACTGCACAAGCAGCGCGGAGCAATTGGATGCCGCCGGCACGCTGTCCAATGAAGATGGCAGCGTGGCGCGCGGCTCCAAAGACAAGACGCCCATGTGTCTGGTCAACGAGTTGGCCAGGTACAATAAGGTGAGCCAATAAAATGTTTCTTGCTGCAGCATATATAGATTAAATTCCTATCATGCCTCCACAGATCACACATCAATATCGCTTGACGGGCGAGCGTGGTCCGGCGCATTGCAAGACCTTTACTGTTACTTTGAAGCTGGGCGAGGAGGAGTATTCAGCAGATGGTTTCAAAATCAAGAAGGCGCAACATTTGGCCGCCTCGAAGGCCATCGAAGAGACCAAATACAAGCATCCGCCGCCAAAGATACGCCGCAACGATGAGGGCAGCGCAACGCGCACACACATCACGCCCACCGTTGAGCTAAATGCGCTGGCCATGAAGCTGGGCCAGCGTACCTACTACCTGCTGGATCCAACACAGATACCGCCCGCAGATCCCATGCTGCCGCCTGAATATGCTACATCGTTGCTGCCTACACCAGCGGCTGGTTTGCCGCCTCCACCGCCGCCGCCTTATGCGTTGCGCCGCAATGCCAATGGTGGTTATGTGCTGCCGCCTCCGGCCATGCATCCGCATCATCATGTGGCGATACAGACACAGCGCGGCATCTATGGCCATCAGCGACCGTTTGCGCCCAAATATCAATCTCGGTATGCACTGGCGCCAGCGCTGGGACCACATATGCTGGCCGGTCCGCATGGACCCTATGCGGCCGCACTGCCCGTAACACCCAGCAAGATAACCTTGTTTGTGGGCAAGCAAAAGTTCGTGGGCGTTGGACGCACACTGCAGCAGGCAAAGCACGATGCGGCGGCGCGTGCGCTGCAGGTGCTCAAGACGCAGTCGAATAGCTCAGCTGACGAGGCGCTGGACGACTCTATGGATGAGGGCGACAAGAAGTCGCCCATATCGCAGGTGCATGAGATTGGCATCAAGCGCAACATGACGGTGCATTTCAAGGTGCTGCGCGAGGAGGGACCAGCGCACATGAAGAACTTCATTACCGCGTGCATTGTCGGTTCGATTGTGACCGAGGGCGAGGGCAATGGAAAGAAGCTGTCCAAGAAACGTGCTGCCGAAAAGATGCTCACCGAGCTGCAGAAATTGCCGCCTCTCACGCCGACCAAACAGACACCCATGAAGCGCATCAAAGTGAAGACGCCCGGCAAAGGTGGTGCAGCGGCAGCTGTCACAGGCATGGCAGCTGCCGCCACCGTCACGCCGCTGGGCAAACCGGAGCGACGCAAGCGTCTCAGTGCGCCTTTGAAGGAGAAGCCCATTGTGGAGCTGGATGATGCCGAGAATCCCATCACGAAACTCATTCAATTGCAGCAAACGCGCAAGGAAAAGGAGCCCATCTTCGAGCTAATTGCCAAGAACGGCAACGAGACGTCCAGGCGGCGTGAGTTCGTCATGGAGGTATCCGCCAGCGGCAGCATAGCGCGCGGCACTGGTAACAGTAAAAAGCTGGCCAAACGCAATGCAGCACAGGGTGAGTTACAGTTGTTCCATATCCTTGATTCGTTCTAATTGCATTCAATCCCCTCTAGCTTTGCTCGAACTGCTGGAAACAACGGAGCAAAACGGCGGCGACTCGGAACACGCTTTGGGACATAATTTGCCTGCTGCTGCAGCTGTGTCTGTAGGCGGGATAACTATAGAGTCAACTGGCGGACTCGATGTGCCCATGGTCTCGACGCCTGCGGGTCCTGTGCCCGGTATTTTAATACTACGTCAAAATAAAAAGCGTAAGTGGGAATCCATTAAGGCGATCAGAAATGGCAGATACAATTTTTTTTTGTTTTTCAATAGCAGCGAAGAAAAAGGATGCGGTGGTTGGGGTCAAAGCCAATGTGGAGCCAGCTAAGGAAAAGGAAGCCAAAAAAGAAGCTATAATCACAGCAACAGCAACAGAGGGAAAAAGTAGCCACAACAGCAGCAGCAACAACGAGTCCAATGCTCATGAGGCGGCTAACGAGAGCAGCCTAAACACCTCCACGGGCAGCAACACAAGCGGCGTCAGCAGCAACAGTAGCAATGCGCCAGCCAGCAGTAGTGGCAACAATGCCAGTGGCGGCGGTGATGGCAGCAGCAGTGCTGGTGGTGGAAGTGCTGGTGGCGGCGGTGCTGGTGGTGGCGGCGGCGGCAGCAGCGGCAGCGGTGGTGTGCATATGAAGGAACAGCTCATATATCTCAGTAAATTGTTGGATTTCGAGGTGAGTGGCTGGCATATAAATACAATTAGATTAAAGCTAATTGCTCTTCAAATGGCAGGTCAACTTTTCGGACTATCCCAAGGGTAATCACAATGAGTTTCTGACGATAGTCACGCTCTCCACAACACCGCCGCAGATCTGTCATGGCGTTGGCAAAAGCTGTGAGGAGTCGCAAAATGCCGCGGCGCGCAATGCTCTAAAAATTTTAAGCGAACTGGGCCTAAACAATGCCAAGAAATAATAAGCCAAACTAATTAACTGCAATTTATATATATTTTTTTGTTGTTGTGCATTGCAAAAGTAAATGAAAAAGCAAAAAACACCCGTCCACAAATCAAACTAAAGAAAAAAGGAGAAAGAAAGAAAACTAGAAGCTGTGTGCAAATTGAAAGTATGCAAGAAACAATGCAAGAAACAGTAATTTTTGAAATAGCAAATTATTAGTTAATACCTATTTATTTATTTATGTGCAAGTGTGCGCAATATGCATTGTTGATTTGCATTTTTGTGTTAACTGCTGTTATTATTTTAATTAATTTGTTGTTGAAATTGATAATTGAAATGAATTGAACAGAGCCCAGAGCCAAGTCAACTAAAACAAAGATATAAACATAAGCAAAAGAATAACTTAATAGCCTTATGGTAGCAAGCGAAAAGTTGAAAAATGTTGCAGCATGTTGCACACATTCTACACAAACACATACTATGTTCATATATATATATATATATATATATATATATAGATAAATATAAATATATATGTCTATGTATATTGAGATCGAGCACTCATTAGGCACTTAAATTAAATTGATGAACAAATTGTAAACATATAACTAATAATATTTATTAGCTGCATGCGGCTGCCAAGACGCTTATGCAACGCTTTCAAAAAATAAATACAAAAATTTGTCTGCCACATGTTGCATTTGCCTCACAAATGTGAAATTAGAACACAACTAAATTAAAGCCTGCACACGCTTGTGAAATTTTTAATTTATTTTTTCAAAGCCATGAAAGCCAATCAACGGAGCATAAGAACTGCTGCTGCTGCTTGTGGTCAAATGTATGATGGAACTCGTCGAATAATGAATCTATATTATAATACTATAATTAATATATCTATTAATAAGCAACAATAATTACAACGATCAAGCAACAAATTGTGTGCAGCTAAACAAATTTTCAGCCAACATTTCCATTCGCATATTGTGCAATTGCAAAGTGAATGTTTGAAATTTGTTGTAGCCCCAACGACTCCAGCTGCCACAATTTGTGGCAAGTGTATTTGCTTTGAATTGTGGCAAGTGGCCAGTTGGGTCGCATATCAATCGGCTTGTGGGTTATAATGAAGAAAATACAATTTACATAATCGTTAATTATTATATTTAAATGTTTAAAAACCATTTTGTAAATGTTCAGTTTTTTGGCATACACCCCCAACTAAAAAACTGAGCATCTTTATGAATAACGTGTTGTTTAAATTCCACTCCCAGTTTGATTTTTGATAATCTATGTTTTATTACACACACACATACACACTCAGAAATCTTTACTTTATCACACACACACACACACACACACACACACATATATTAACATTTGCATGTTATGAAATTTTTTGTACAATAGTTTTTAATTGCTTTGCCCAGTAAACAGCACAGATTAAGCGTTAAGTTGCATTATGTCAAATTGTATTTTGTGTAAACAATGTTCGTCGCAACAATGTGCATGATTGCTTTAACTTAAAAGAACAAAACCTTATTTAAAAATATAAAAAAAAAAAAACATTAAAATGGAAAGATCGTACGAAATTCAACTAAAGAAAAGCCTTACGTATAAGCGAATTATATAAACACTTTTAAAAACACATCCAGTATTAAAACACACACACATAAATAAATATCTTTGATATACACACATAAACAAATATATTTAATATAAAAAAAGAATACGTATAAAATACCTTAAATCGTGCACATTGTCTGCATGCGTCGCCCCACTTCCTCAACTCCTCCTAACTAAACTACCCATTCGAAAGGTTCATTTTGTTAGAAGATTTTGCAAATTCAAAAAACAATAAATGTTACGCATCAAATTAATTGAATATACTTTGCAAAATCTTCACGAAATTAATAAGAAGTAATATATAATATTGCATTATAATCGTTTATAAAGAAGGAAACCAACCAATCTGTTCATTAAGACAAGACAAAGGAACAAAAACAAAAAAATAAAATAGTTGTGACTACAGCTAAATACACACATTTATTAGATTTTAAGCAACAAAAACAATCACAATAATAAGAAGCAGAATCCGAAGAAGAAGAAGCAGCAACAACAAAAAGTGTTAGTATTTAAACAAAAGTCTTGTCTTTCGTGAGAAAACAAATACCTAAAAACTATATGACTATGTAAAATGTAATACTTGTAATAAACATTCAAATAAAGTTGAATACTGCCTTTGATTTGATAAACTGACAGCTTTTCAATTTCAGCTTGATTTTTTACCTATTTTTTTATTTCTGAGTGCTTAGCTTTTATTTATGGCGCCTGTTAATATCAACAATAAAAATGTGTTATGTAATTTGCCATACACATTAGTGAAAATTATGTCTAAATTCACCTTAAAACTGGTGACAAGCTTCCAAAGCGGGGCTTGTTAGGGAGAGGGGATGGGGGGGGGGGCACATATTAACGCTTGTAAATTTGACAACATTCCTTATATGCTTATTAGCTGTGATATAGATCATGCCGTTTATCTTACTGCAATGACTAATAAATGAGGACATTTTCAATGTTAAAATAACGTGGTCCGATATGCGTGGGTTATAACTGTTTGTATAACTGTCCATCCGACATAAATCAAATATTACCATTCTATATTTTCTTAACGTGCATCACAATAGTTGGGAAAAAAGGGAGTCGACATCTTAGAATGTCAATTCATAGACCTCCACGAGACGTATCTTTCATAGAAGTGCTTAAATTTAAAGGGTTATAGTTATAGACGTAGAATCGACAACTGATCTGGGGCTTCTCTATTAGCTTATATTGAAGTCTTTTGGTTGTGGGATCTCGAGACGCAATGTTAAAGCTTAAATGCTGTGGGTAAAATATGAGTGCACAATAATTCGAGCCATGATCATTTAAAGTTCTTGGTATCTGGCATATCACGGCTAAGCTTAATATACCTAGTACTATAGTTAATTTTCGTAGCAACAATTGCTTCCATGTTGGAATTGGGGTATCCGATTGCAACAATAATATTATACTTAGTATCTATAAGTAGGCGTGCCGGTTGCAGCGCTTTGTTTCACTTTCTCCGCTGGCATTTGGCTGGCGATTGAAATACAAGTTTTTAGTGGCAAATGCATAATAAATCCATAAAATTAAATAAATACCTTTGACTTGCACACTTGGGCGCTGGCCTGTAACGGGCCAAGCGTGCTCCAGCTTCCAATTTCAGATGCGCGGACCCGGCAAAATCAAAGCGTTGCCCACATTTGCATATGCATCCGAGCTAGAGATGCGCAGCCGGCGCAATGTGTGTCCATCTCTCTGTTTGTGTGTGTGTGTGTGTGTGTGTGCGTGTGTGTGTGTTGATTAATTTATGGCGCTGATAATAATCCGACGGCGGCAACGCCAGCTACAGCGTGTGATTATGAAATTTGTGTTTTTGCCAAAAGAAATCAATAATACGGCGGAGGAGTGAAAGATGTGAAAGACGTGAAAGAGCCCAGGCCAGATGCGATACGAGATGAGAAATTAACATGTGTTTGTCAGCGCCGGCAAAGACATTAGTAACAACACACACACACATATAGCTGTATCTGTGTGTCGCACTGTGATGTAATAGGCATTTGATAGCATGCTAGGGAATTGGGTTTCGGATTTCGGGCTTTTGGGTTTTTGGAATTTTTTGTCGGAAATGAACGTTCAACTCGGCTTGTAGAGTAATTAAAAATCAAATGCTAAGTATTAGCTTAAACCAAGTTGTTGTTGTTGTTGCTGACTTATATAATATCTTAATTATTTATACCAAATGTTAAACGTTCGTTTCGGGCGCTGCCCAAAAATTATTATGCCAAATGGGAATGTTTTTTTTTTGTAGCACATGCTGCTGCCTTTGACTCGAATGAAAGTGAAACTCTTTTTCTTCTATTTATTTTTGTTGTCTTTCGATTATAACATTTGCCGATGCGGGCTGCCTTTGACTTTGGCCAATTTTGCCTTTGATTTATCTACCTGTCTGACTCGAAGTTAGTTTCAATTTGATTTTGACAAGCATTTAGAAGCAAACGCCCATCCGTCTGTGTCAGGCTGTGGGAATCTGTCGATAGGCATATTTGTTGAAAGCCAAATAAATGCATGGATGGCTACCATTAAGATTTATTATTCGATTTTCAATTTGGCTGCAGTTTTCTTTTGAATCAGATTGGTTTTGGTTTTTGGGGCAAAATTATAATCATTGTGAAAACCTGAAATTTCTTTTAATCATGCTTAATGAGCTGCTGCCAGTTTTTTCCACTTCCTTTTGAGAGATGCGTGTGCGCCATCAGAATATGAATTATTTATCTTCATAGATATTGCTTTGATTTGGCCAGTAGCATTGTTTAATGTGTTCACATTTGCATATTTGTTGCCGCTCGTGTGCTTCAATTTGGCTAATGATCGTATAGTTGTTTCTATGTTCGGAATGTCTTGAGCGACCCTCGTTTTTATCTTTCTACATGTTTTCTAAATGCCAGCTGCTGCTTCTTTTCATGTTACCTTTCAAACAATTGCAGCCCAAAAAAAAAACAACGGCTATTTCTTAAAGGTCAACTTGTAAAAAACTGAAATAAAATAATTTTCGTTGAACAAGCCTAGGGTTGTTTAATTAATAGATTATTTTCATAGAACAATTATGAGACACGTGCAGGAAGCGAAGCATAAAATTAAACATAAATAAAGTAATTTAGGCGCCCGCATTCGCATAATTAAGAATTAGCCGCAGGTGAAAAGTGAACAAAATATAAATAAATTATGCCACAAATACTTTATTGCCGCGACTCAAGTGCCAACAATTGGATTACTTCGAACTGAAGTACAGTAAACACTTGAGAATGGACCCAAGCATTCTTGGCAGGCGGTCCCAAATGATTGGGGCTCATTTAACATAGAATGCCGAACAATTGTAGAATTTTGCCAAGTCCTTTCCCCCGCTGCAAAATCAACAATATGATTAATTTATATTGAACATGGAATAGAAAAAAAAAATATATAAATTTGTTACAAGTGCTTGCATAATGCTTATTTATATATCAATTTGCGCTGAGAGACAGAAATTAAGGTATTTTGCATAAAAACGAATGTCTGGCCATAATTATGTGTCGAACTGACGGATGCCAGGCAAAATAATAATAATAAGAAACTCATTTATTTTGAGGCAGCACGTGATTGCTTCTATTTAAATAAAATGCCCTGTAAAGTGGGTAAAAGGGGTATGCTAGAGGCAGGGTTTGTTTGACCGACTAAAACTATGTGTATTTCTGAGATGTTAGTACACCAAAAATTGGAGTAAAGACTTAATACCATATTCATCTGAAAATCTGCAATGATTGTTACTTATCTAGCTATTATATTATATTATTATTTAAATTCTATAACAATTGAGCACATAGCATTAATACCACAAGCAGAAATAATAATCTATTAAGATATTTGACAATTATTTTCACAATTTTATTTTATTCTTGAATAGGTTAATATAAGACATCCCCGTCCCCATAAAGTATATACATATATGAAAAATCAGCATCAACAAATAATCTTATCAAAATCGGCCTATACTATATCATAGACCTGGCATAGGAACGATCGGTCGAAAAGTAGGTTCTTATATGCCAAAATATTCTGTTTTCCAAGATATTTTCATTAAACATAGCCTAACTGCTTAAAACATACCTGGGAAAGAGTAATGTCTGAAAGGGTATTAAATATTCTACGTGCAGGAGATTTGCATATTATAATTTATATATAATGTATAGAAACTGTTCTGTGAAAAGCAATGTATTGAAAATAAATACAGGGCATCAGACTGTCACATATGTATATACAGCTTGGCTACTTCATATTTTGTCTGGTACAAATTTATATGCTATTTCAAAGGATTTGTCAATAAAGCTAGTAGAAGAAGAATAATGACAAATCAGCCAATAAAAGAAAACATATGAAGTGTCATGTTTATAGATAAGGCACACAAAAAAAGACCTGCACAAAGCTAAGCCAAAAGCAGAATACAAATTAAAATAAAATAAAATAAAATAAATAAACAAACACAATGGCCAAATGGCCATAAGCATGGTAATGAGAACTGAAGCGTGCATAATTAAATTGCGCCCACTGTTAAATTAATGACACCAAAGAATGCAACTTAATAATAGGATTTATTTCGCAAGTCAAGCACCGGAGCTCAAGATGTATCAAATTCGGCAATCGTTGTTGTTGTCTCTGAACTATTCCTTCTCAGTTGCGAGACGCTCCAGCTCCTCAACATAATGGACAGGCATCCAG